CATTCTATCTGCTGAAAAACAGCATGTCATGAAAACCTAGGTCATTAAAGTATGTCAAGAATTACTGGTTTAAACCTAAAAGTATTATTTCCGCCACAGGCACCATCAAAGCATAAAGTACATACAGGTTTTAGAATATTTGCTCCCATCAAGACTACACCCATTTCAGATACGCCTCACTTATTTTTAGCAAATATTAAACCACATACTGCATTTATTACAGCGGCGTGGCATCATAGAAGAGTTCAGGTGCTGAACTGGCCTGTTTGAAAGGAAATCCAGCAGCTGGACTCCTCAGTTCCTGTRCACGCGCAGCGCACTATGGGGCGCTACGTGTAAAATGAAGCGCTAAAGAATTTCACCAACATATTTTATATTATTTAGYTCACTTTCTGATTGTTAAAATTTTTCCACTAACTGTGGAACTGTTATTTTAGACCACTGCTCWTACATTTTGCAAATTTTTACTAAATGTTCAATCTAAATGTTGAAAAGTATATTTAMATAGTAAATCCTAAATCTAATCTTAAATGTCGAAGTTAAATGTTAAAGCTCACATTTAGGTCTTTTGGAATGGATTGCAGCCTTTCCTATTGGTGCTCGTTTTCAGTGAACACATATTGAATATAGATTTTAAATTCTATCTTTAGCAGTGTTAGACACGTTAGCAACGGTTARCATTAGCTAACCAGCATGACATCATCATCCTGCGACAAACATAAACAATAGCCACTGCGAGCCAATGCTACCCACTGCTAATGTTGCTGAAGATAGTATTAAATATCTAAATTCAATATGTGTTTATAAAAAACAACATGGGTGGTACCTGTGGTCCAGCAGTTCGTACTGCAGCTTGGACACTGGCCATAACTGCAAGGTATAAGTTTTGCAGAAAATATTTAGCTGCATTGGAGCGCTAGCGGTTGCTATTGTCTCAGGATGATGACATCATAACACGAGCCGAGCACCAACAGCAAAAGGCTGCATTCCATTCCAAAATACTTAAACGTGAACTTCAACATTTAACTTTAGATTTAGGATTTAATGTTTCAATATATTTTTTTTAACATTTAAATTTAGCATTTACAAAAAAAAATTTCCAACTGAATATTATTCGTTCACAATTATTACACAGAATCCCACTTCAGAATATCTGAACTGCCCCTTTAAAAACTTTATTTAGTCTGTCATTTCAAACTACTGTGTGGAGAAACTTAATGAGGAAAATCAAAATTTGATAATAAGTCCTGGTGTTTCAGCCTACCCCTGCAACGTCCGTCCTCCTTCCTCATCATCTCCTCATCTTCCTCAGCAGCAGGGAGGAAGGAAACAGCTTGGCAGAGGCTGAGGCAGCACTCTGTTCCTGAGTCATGCTTCATCTTGAGGCCAAAGAACAACATGATTTTATCAGATACAATTGAATTTCTTTTTATACTTGGATCCTCCAATGTGTTATTTTCAACATAATGGACAGCTTTACCTTGTGCGTCTCTCTCCTCTCTCCGTGCTGGGGGTTACTTTCACCGTGACTCGGTACCTGGCAGCCACTGAGGGTGGTGATGGGACAGGGCTCTTTCAAGTAATCGGACACCAACTGTAAAACGCAGGGAACTTCCTCTGGCACCGCTATTCCCTCTGCCTCCAGGATCTGCCAATTTGTCACAAAACAAAGCATCTCAGTCACTGATAAACATCAAGTTAAATGTGTGACAATAGGTCACACATCGACTATGGCTGAAATGATGTCGAAAGGCAAAGGAAAGGTTGCAAAGCAACAGAAGGACATTGTGACTCGGAATTTTTAGACAAAGCAGATAATTTTGAAAAGCGAGTTTGACTGTTGAACAGGTGCTGATGGCAACACAAATGGTTTTGTTGGATTTAAAATTTAAATCCTTTCATAGATCTTCCTGAGCATTTTTGAGGTGAACTGAAACCAGAACTTTATTTGTGGTGTTATTGACATTATTTCAACTGATTATGTTCACAATAACTTCACGTTTTCTTGAGACACAAATTTAATGTAACACCTAAAGTATGAAGGAAAAAAAACAGTCTGGCTTCTGAAACCACAAGAATGTCCATTCTGGCTTTCTATAGCCCAAGATACAGAATCAAACTAGATAATGGAGCTATGGTTTAAAAACAATAAACTAAAATTAATATCTGGGACAAAAGAATGCACCTAATAGCTCTGATAGTATTTACACCCATAAAGATTATGATGTTTACAGGACCTTGAAGACAAGCAATAAAATATGTCTGCTCCAAGACTGTAAAAGAATGCCTTCTGGACAAAGCTTATCAGCTAAAGTGAACAAGGTCACCAGCCTCATCAGGATGGCAGCATGACCTGGCAGCAAAACGTAAACAAACACAAACACTATGCAACACTTCTGTTAAACCTAATGAGTACTTCTTAGAAAACCATATTCTTTTTTTTCACAGCAGTCACATATTAAAATTCCTGCTATTAGATTTGACTTTTGTTATGAGTACACCCTTGTTATTTAAAAGAAGTTGTTTTTAATTAAAAATAAGGTAATGAAAAAATGGATGGTTATTATATTTTCATTGTATACTCCAGAATCAGAAAAACAGTCCATCTTTTTATTTTTGTCAAACTGAAAGTTTAACACCGTCATCAAGGCAAATCTAAGCTGTCCTGTAGAATCCTGCTGCAGCTTCATGATCCTCACCATGGACCTGTTGGAGAAAGGCTTCTTGTGCTAAAAGCACCAGAAGCTCCTGGAAACAGTTTGAATCATAAGTGATATACAAACTATAAGTTGGCACCTCTTAAAGAAATGTAAAACTAGTTAGCTAACGTTTATTTATTGCGGCTGCTGGGTTAGCTAAATATAAAGTAAAATGTGTATATTTACCTTATTAATAAAACATTTAGCTAAAGGGTTCCCACACCGTCAGTTTACTGCAATCCTGAGTTATCCAC